ACGTTCGCGCTTTTGACGGGTCACGTTGCTATTGCTATTGCTATCATGGTTTATTTAGGCATAGTATGCTTTTTGAATCCAACTATGCTCACTCAGTTTGCCTGGATTTAGCATGCTATATAAGCCCAACCATAGTATGCTAATCTACTCCAACATTTTTTTGGAAAAGAGAACATATACTTAGGCATTTCTGCAAAATGACTGCTGAGGAAAGGGGAGAACCTGCTCATTCAAAAAAATAGTTGCCCTGGGAAAAAACTAACCATAAACTTGATTACTACTTGCCCCTTTCCTGCAGGGCACTCACTTCCATCCCTGTTTACCTTTGTTCTTTCTCTGAGCTGCTGGACACCTTTCCAAACTAACCTCTGGATTGAATTCCCATTATTGCTCTATTCTAAAAAAAGACCAAGTTTCCCATTGGATCCCATGCATATTCTTGGAATCAGATAAGATGCTACAGGCTAGTACTGTGCTTTGCAGCATGGCAGGTTCCCATTCATTTTTAATTAAAATGTATGCTTTTGATACAAAAAGCTCAGGTGGGACAGGAAGCTTGATAGGTGCCAAGAAAAATACCTCCAGGCGCCCTACTGGAAAACCCCATTCATTCTGTTGTCTTTGCAGATAGCTGCCCCACTAGGCAAGGATGTGGCTTCATCATTACAGTAGAGTAAGGCTGAATTACTGCTAATGAATTACAAGTGCCATACAGCTACTGTATCATAATGATACTGTATCATTATGTTAGAATAATGGTGCATTATTGTTTAGTTGCCTTGAACTCTTCTTATTTAATTATGCCAACCTATTTGTTGGTTCACGTATCACAGTAAACTCTTACTTGTCTAAACATGGTGATGGAATAGGCTGCCATGGACTGAATTCTCAACAGATCTTAATCCAAAAACCCAGAGTAACCACCAATATTCTATGCACAGATTGACGGTGAGTGCCCCCGTCCCCCGTTACAAAGGCTTGGCACTGGCTTTCCTGACTGTCATTGATGCTTGTCCTTCATTCAGACACATTTCTAAATTTTGGTTCCCTGAGAAAACACACCTTTCACGTGTTTTAGCAGCACATTTTGATATACGATATTCCTGGGCCTTTGCCAGCTGATCATGTGATAGGAAATTAATCTCTGCAGATTAATTTGCAATCAAACAAAGTTGATTGTTCAGCGTTTTGTATTATTTTCGCCCGTAGGCAGCGATTTCTGGGATACAGAAAATCTCAATTTTTAGAACACCTGAGATCACTTTTTTGGCTCAGGAAACAATTGTCAACCATTGTTTTCACATGCCCATCTTTCCTTGTAAAGGTAGGTAGAATATTCTCCCATCCACCCACCCCTCCTTTATTAATTGCCAGGAATGCAACTACTAAATGGATACCCTTCAGCAGCACAAGGTGCCCTCCGAGGGAGACAGGGCTGCTTCCCTGGCACTTCTCCACAAAGTGGGAGGAAACACTCCAGACAGGCCTCAACTTACAACCACAACTGAATTGAGCAGAATTTCTGTTGCTAAGCAATGCGATTGTTAAGTGACTTGCTCTTGATTTTACAACCTTTTTGCCATGGTTGTTAAGTGAATCACTGCAGTGGTTAAGTGAATCACACGGTCATTAAGTGAATTTGGCTTCGCCCATTGACTTTGCATGTCAGAAACTGGCTAGGAAGGTTACAAATGAGCACATGTTCCTGCAGTGCTACAACTGTCATAAATGTAGGGACAACTTCCAAGAGCTCGAGTTTTGATGACGTGATTATGGGGATGCTGGAAAAGTTGTATGTGCGAGGACGTGTTGTAAGTCACTTTGTTCAGAACTGAACAACTGCTAACTGAATGGTTGTAAGTCAAGGACTATCTGTTTCCCAGCCAATTCAACATGGCATAAGTAAATAGCTGTAGAATTTCTTGGTGAAGAAAAATTGTAGGCCACCCAGAATCACTTTTTGTGAGATGGGAGGCCATGTAAATTTGATTAATAGATAAATAATTAAATGAATAAATTGTGAATATGAATTATGCAAGCTTGCCATACTATACGATATTAAGCAAGCTACTGTCTCAAAAATAACACCATTCCGATAGTTAAAAATGCTGGCTCCACTCTTTAATAATAAAAATCAAAGAACCCAATGAGAAAATGGAACTGAAATTACATATGAAGATCAAGCTAATGACAACAGCTACAACAATCAATTGACAATGAAACCATTGAAGATAGCTTTCAAACTTTCAATCCAATGTTTCTCAACTTGAAGATATATGGACTTCAACTTCAAGAATTCCACCACAAACATTTTCAAGTTGCAAAGCTTAACTATTTCATCAAGAAAACATTATAGTTCATGTCCAAGCTGAAATTCTGTTGGGAAAACAGAGGAAAACAGTTCTAAAAAAAACTAGAAGAGATTGCTATTTAAATTGCCTCCAATGAAGGATGAGATAAAGGCAACGTCCTGGATCATATTCTTGAAAATAACTTTTGCCCTGTGGTTAGAAGCTTGTGAGGATTAGCCTATTGATTAGGATTAATTTAATTTGCTTGTTCTGTGGAACATTTAAAATAGCTAATAATAAAGAGCAATATTCCTTAGTATCAGCAGAGAGAGATCCTCCCTTCATTAAGTATGACAATTATAGTTACGATATTGGTAATGTATAATTATTGCTAAATTGTTGTGTTTTTCCTGGCAACGGTCCTGTGATTTCAATCAAGACAGTACTGTAAGGAGGTTAGGAGGTCAGACTCATGTACAAAGGTCAATTTTCATCCTTCCCTTATCCTAATACTCTAATTTTTAGCAATCGTCTACAGTGATGTAGTACATTTGGCATTGAGAATTCTGATATAATTTTGCTGTGGCCATTTTCATCAGGTTTATTGTTTGTAAGGGCAGATTTTGCCTTTCCTTCCTCACACATTGTCCAAATAAAATGCCTCCTTTCCCTCATCCTTGCTTGTAAATGCTGATGAGGGAGGGCAATCTTTGGGTCCCCTGTAAAACAAGTTAGGAATAAATCTGATTTAGTTCCTAATTATCTTAATATAAAATGTATTCTAGTCCTGAGGCTTCTTGATTCTTTAAAAAGATGATGCCAGTTGTAAACTTTCGATTTTCCTCAGGCACAATATAATGGTAGGAATAATAATCAATTAGTTTTACGGTTGGTTGCACAGTTAGCTTAGCTGAATTTGGTATTTTTATCCATCTATAAAATGCAAGTTCTGGGCTAGGCAGATGTTATTGTTTGAGGGTGTTAAAGATGTCATCACAGGATATCAATTGTTCCATGCAAAGTAGCATTTTGCAACTGACTGGTGGTAATTTTGTCAATGAGGAAGGAAGGAAGGGAGAAAGAGACAAGGGGAAGGGGAAGGGAAAGGAAAGGAAAGATATCAACCTGATAACGTTTCATCTCTCATAGTCAACAAAATAATCTATCTTCTTTTGGATAAAAAAAAATGAGTTTGTTCTGATTGCTCCAAAATGTCTTAGATTCTAGAAAAGGACCTCAGCATCCAGCCCTTACTACAAGGTATAATTAGAAATCAAACAGGGGATGTGTGATGCCTTCAGTACTGGAGCACTACACATAGATATTTTTAATGCAACTCAAACTCTATTAACTTCTCATAACTTACAATGGAATCATGTTGCTCAAATCATGCTCAAGAAAAACAAAAACTCCACATGGAATCTTGTGGCAAATGGATTGTTAAACTTTTTTTTCCGTTTAGAGGAAAAATGATTTCTGTTGTGCCAGACATTTCAAGGACTTCACAGATTGAAGGGGTTCGGTGAGTGTCAGCAACATATGGAATAATTGGCTCCCTCCAGCTGATCTCGACATGAACACACCCACTTCATTTTCTCCACCATTAGCCCAGAAAATAGTATTTGAGTACATCCTTTGGAGTTTGTGGAATTAAGGATTTATTTGAATCCAGCTAGTCTTCTGATGACTACACACTACGTCATTGTCTTGGCAACTATACGGAAGTGGTTTGCCCTGCTTTCTTCCAATGTGTTTTTTGACTTCCCAATTTAATCAACAGCCAACTGAAATCCTAATTAGGTCTAATCCTGCTTAGGTGGTATTATTATTATTATTGTTGTTGTTGTTGTACAATTGTATCACAGCGGCNGCAGACTCTGCCCACAGCCAGCAGTTAGGTCCTGATTGGCTCCAGGTTGACTCAGCCTTCCTTCCATCCTTTTGAGGTGGACAAAATGGGGACCCAAATTGTTGGGGGCAATAGGCTGACTCTGTAAAAACCACTTAGAGAGGTCTGTAAAGCACTGTGAAGCGGTATATAAGCCTAAGTGCTATTTCAGGCTAACTCTGCCCACTGCCAGATGTTTGATTCTGAGCAATGCAAGGTTGACTCAGCCTTCCATCCTTCCAAGGTTGGTAAAATGAGGACCCAGATTGTTGGGGGGCAATAGGCTGTAAAAACCACTTAGTGAGGGCTGTAAAGCACTGTGAAGAGGTATATAAATCTAAATGCTATTGCTGTATTGTGAATTAGACATGTTTCTAATTCATTTAAGTACGGAAGAGATCCCTTTTCAGATGCATTAAAAACCTGTGGCCTATTTGGCAGCATTAAACGTCCTCCGGTTGTAACCTTTGGCAAACATTCTGAACATTAAGACAAACTGAATGTTAACGTTATGTAGACAGTCCTCGACTTGCAACCGTTCAAAGTTACAACGGCACTGAAAAGGTGGTTTGTGACCCTTTTTCACACTAACCACCTTAGTAGCATCGCCATCATCATGTGGTCAAAATTCTGATTCTTGGCAATCGGTTCATACTTACGACCGTTGCGGTGTCCCAAGGTCACGGTGATCCCCTTTTGCGACCTGACAAGCAATGGGGAAGCCAGCTTCACTTAATAACTGGGTGACTAACTTACGAACTACAGTGATTCCCTTAAAACCCTGGCAAGAAAGGTCATAAAAATGGGGCAAAACCCCCTTGGCAAATGTCTCACTCAACAACAGAAGCGTTTGGCTCTGTTGTGGGACTCCCTGTGTTAGTGCAGGCTAATATACTGTAGTGTCATGTTAGTGTCATTCAAGTATTCCAGTAACGGGCTTTCATTTCTTTGCAGTCTTATCTGCAGATTTTAATTTTGGTTCTTCAAGTTAACAAGTTCGTCGACTTTTCTAGGTTAAAGAAGATGCCTCAATCCATGCCAGAATATGCCTTAACTCGGAATTATTTGGAATTGATGGTGGAATTACCCTGGAGCAAAAATACCAAAGGTCAGTGGTTATTTCCTTAGGATGAGAATACTATTTTTTTTTAAAAAAAATATCATAGAAACACCCTCTATTTAAATACAGGTGGTCCTCGATTTGTGACCACAATTCAGCCCCAGATATGCGAAACCGCTGTTAAGTGCGTTTTGCTCTGTTTTATGACTTTCCCCGCTGACTGTCTTCTCCGTGTATGACTTGGACTGTTTGATGGACTCTGATACCTCTATTTTCCACGAAAGTAAAAGCCTATTT